TACCCCAGGCATCGGCGGCCTGGCTACTCCCCAGCTCCTGGTGAGGCTGAGGCTGGCGCCATGGCATCATCCCGCGAGCTAGGATTTGAGCTGCAGTATGCTATGATTCTGAGCACTGCACTTCAGGTGCATTCTACCCCATAGCTCCAACCCTCGCACGCCCTGAACCATCACAGGGATCCCTCCTGCCCACAGCGCCTCCTACAGCCCCTGGGTCCTATCACGGCTGCATCGCCTTACCCCATGGCTGCGATACTTCTTTTTCCTTTATTTTCATTTATTTGTTTTTCAGAGATGGGGATCTTGCCATATTGGCCATGCTGGTCTCAAACTCTTGGCCTCAAGTAATACCCATTTTTGGCCTCCCAAGTAGGCTGGATTACAGGTACAAGCCTGTACCCCTGCCATCTCAACTTAATCTTAATATTTAGCTCATTGTGTCCTGAGGGTCAGTTAAGGTCCCCAAAAAAATTCTATGTCTACAATCTACTGTAAATTGCAATATACACTCTTGTTCTCCGCATTTTAAAACAATCACAAAGGCACACCATCTGCCTCCTACCTCCACAAACCACATCACCGCATAGCAGCCAACAGCTGCACACACTAACCAAGTTTTAGCAAATGATTGTGTGTTATTATTTGAGTGTACAGGAAGCAAACAACTCTTCACTAATACTCCACCACCCAGCAGATTTTTCAACTTTAGTTAAATACATATGTTTTATTTTTTCATGCCTTGTAAATATTGCTGACCATAAACGCAGCAGAAGAAATTTACAAATGGTATAATAATGGGGTTAGTTAGAGACGACAATAGCTAATTTTGACCCAATTGTGGAAACAAATATTGATCTGTCCAAATATTAACATTAAATGAAATGATTACCCAATACTATTCTTAATACAGTTTATGTGCAAATGACATTTTCGTCGTAAAAAAAAAAATAAAAAAATAAAAAAAATACAGTTTATAACCTGTGCATTTACCCAGTACCAACAAAAGTTTTAGAGCTTACTTACAGCGTGTTCTAATAGTATTCGACTTTTTACAGGTTTTTTTGTTTGTTTATCTATTTATGACATTGTATGGGTTTTCTCTTGGTCACTTATGTAAGAAAGCGAGCTTCCTTGAAAGACCAGCCACCTTAAAACATTAGAGTATATTTGCTCAACATACTTTGTGGGCACTTCTTCAGCATACAACTGCTTTTTGCCCCTCTGACCATTTTAACTCTCACGGGCGCTCTCTTTTCTTCTTTTTTTTTCTTTTACTTTACTCACTCTTATTTTTTTTTTTTTTGAGACGAGTCTCGGTTTGTTTGCCCAGGCTAGAGGGAGGTGCCGCCTCAGCCTACGCTCACAGCCACCTCAAACTCTCGGGCTCAAGCAACTCTTCTGCCTCAGCCTCCCGGGTAGCCTGGGACTACAGGAATTGCCCTACCATGGCCGGCTAATTTTATTTATATATATACCTCCAGCTCGGCCCCCCCCACACCACACACGCCCCCCACCCCAAATTAATTCTTTCTATTTATAGTAAGAGACGGGGTCCGCCGTCTTGCTCAGGCTGGTTTTGTTTGAACTCCTGACCTTGAGCAATCCGCCCGCCTCGGCCTCCCAAGAGCTAGGATTACAGGCGTGAGCCACAGCGCCCGGCCTAAATCAGGGCTTCTTAAATCTCTACAGGCCAAACCAGTAACAGGAACTTCATCTAATTTGCAATCATGTGATGGAGTTCTGGGGGAGGGAAAAGCCCTGTTTCAGTGCAAGAGCCCAGGTGCCTCTGCCTCCTCCTGAGCAGCTGAAAGGGCAAGTGTGTCCTCGGTCATTTTCTGCTCACGAGCGAGTGCCATTTCCAGAGAGCCGGCAGGAGGGTGCAGCGGGCGCGAGCAGAGGTGGCACACAGCAAACGCCAAGGCCACGTCTGCGTCCCCTGCCCTTAACCTGTCTCCATCTTGGGCTCAGTTTGTCTCCTCTGGTAATTCCGTTTCTCCCGGCGCAGGTGAGAGGCTTACTTGGCGGCATGGCACGGGTCACATTTTTGGATGGCTATTGAGACAGATTTGCTGTTTAAAGGAGTGTGACTTTGTTCCACCCTCCTTATAAGAGCATTTACTCCTGGGTGCCCGGAGGCTTTGGGAACCTAGTGTGCTATCTTCTGTGGGGGGATTTGTTTCTGCGTACAGCAGTCTCGCCTTGTCCACGGTTTCATTTCCCATGGTTTCATTTGTTAGCCACAGTCAACTGCTTTTCAAACGTAGATGAGTACAGTACAGTAAGACAGTTTGAGATAGAGATCACATTCATATGTCTTTTATTATAGTATATTGTTATAATTTTCTATTTATTATTGTTGTTGTTAATCTCTTATTGTGCCTAACTTATAAATCAAACTTTGCCACAGAGTTGTATGTACAGGAAAACACAGTGTACAGGGTGTGATACGCTCTGCAGTTGTAGGCATCCCCTGGGAGCTTGGAACCTGTGCCCCACGGATAAGGGTGGATCCCTCTACTGGAGATACTTTCTGAGTTACTTTGCCCAGTGCCTCCTGTCATGTGGCTTTAGATAGATCTTTCACATGAGGGTTGGGCCATGTCTTTTTTTTTTCATTTTTGTGATTTTTTTTTGCTAAATTTTTCCTCTCTTTTGCCATCTACTTCCCAGTTTATAGTCTTGTCAACTATTTGCAGACTAAATAGTTACACCACTTGGTATTGTTTAGGAAACAGAGTAAGGTATGTTGCCAGTTATATCTTCGAGCACAGTTTGTAACTCAGTAAACTTGTTACATTTCCCACCCTTTGGTTGAGAGCCAGGACTTCCAGGCAGAACATGACCAGGCCCCTGGGTGCCGCCCCTCTGAGAGCTGTTCACAGGGAGGGCCCAGGTCCCAAGTGGCTTTCCCTCAACCTTTGCCAGGTCCCGCAAGCCCACACGAGAACGGCACGCTGCAGGTTCTCGGCCCACTCTGAGGTTCTGATGTCCCCTTTCATTTTACGTGAGTAGAGACACTGGGTCTCCCCAAGTCTGGTTTGGGATAAATCTAGCCCATTGCATTTGTAGTGGTCTATGTTGCTGGCTAGTTTCCGGTTTGCTGTAATGCCCAATACACTATCACAGTGTGTGTGTGTGTGTGTGTGTGTGTGTGTGTGTAAATTGGTGTATTGGTGTATCAGATTCAGACTATTTGTTGATGTCAGAGACAAGAAAGTCCAAAATAGTGGCTTCCAGGTAAAGGGACGGGGAGAGCAGGGGTGAGGTGAGAAGGACTTGCACAGGTGGGTCTCGGGACAAGCTGTCGTCCAAGGCCCTAGATCTTGCAATGAACACACAGAGATGACCAGGGGTTAAGACACATATCTCTAACCCTCGAATGCCTCCTTTGTGCCATCTTTTTGTCAGATAAGAAGAGTCGTTATTTTTATTTTTCCTTTATAACACCTGGTACTAGACCCTTCTTCAGATGATGCCTGAAATTTTTATTGCTAAACAGCAACAAAATTGCTGTATAGACTTTTCCCCTTCAGCTACTTTCTATCCTCTTTCTTCCAGGTATTCAATAAGTAACAAAGTTTTTTTTTTTTAATGAGTAATTAATCCCCAAAGTTTCCCAAGAAATAGAGATAGAAAAGAAAAAGAACCACTAGACACCTATCAAAATGATCAAAATAAAAGACACTGACAATGCCAGGTGCTGACAAGGATTGGAGCGGCCAGAGCCTCACACATTGCCAGGGGTGCACAACAGCACGGCCACCCCAGCACTGTTTGGTGGTTTCTTATAAAGTTCAGCATGTGCTTACCATCTGACCCAGAAACCCCACACTGCATTCTTACCCTAGAGAAATGAAGATTTATTTTCACGTAAAATCTTGCCAAGCTTTGCTTGTGATAGCCCCAAACCAGGAACAACCCAAATGTCCTTCAGTGAATGGATAAACCACTGTGGTATAGTCTTACCACACTGTGACTTGGATCATCTCAAAGGCTTGGCTCAAAAGGTTAAATATTAATACCATGTGATTCCATTTATAAGACATTCTTGAAAAGACAAAACTATAATAAGGAGTGGCTCTGAGCAGAACTTTTTTATCCACTCTGGTAATTCCTTAAATTTCTTAAGATTTAATTTAGTTCTTTTTCATTTGTTTTAAGTTTGATGCAGTATAAGTTCCTCATTTTTGTGATTTAAGAGACAAGACCATAAGCATTATTCTCCAGTTTTGAAGATGCTATGTTGGTCGATCATAATGATCCTCCTTACGTCCTGCAGGCAGGGCTGGAGCTGCTGCCAAAGACTCGCCGGGCTCAGCTCTGGCGGCGGGCAGCGCTGCGCCACCTGGTTTCTGCCGTGCACTTCTGCCACCACGAAGCTCTCGCTCACACTGCGGCCACCTGTGTGTCCTCCATTTTGTTTCACCTTATGGATTTGGTCAGGCCTGCACTGAGTTTTCCTTTGTTTTGTTTTGTTTTGTTTTGTTTGAGACAGGGTCTTTCTGTGTCACCTGGGCAAGAGTGCAGTGGCATCATCACAACTCACTGCAGCCTGAAACTCCTGGGCTCAAGTGATCCTCCTGGTTTGGCATCCCAAGTAGCTAGGACTATAGGCAGTTGCCACCATGCTGGGTTAGTTTTTAAATTTTTTGTAGAGATGGAGTCTTGTTATATTGCCCAGACTGGTCTTGAACTCCTGGCCTTAGGTGATCCTCCAGCCTCTACCTCCCATGCCTAGAATTGCAGGCATAAGCCATTGTACCTGGTCTCTGCATTGAGTTTTGATGTGTATTTATTTCCTAAACTCTTGTTTAATGCTTTTTCTACCCTAGACCGTAAGTTAGGATAGTCCTCCTAGTCTTCATAGTCCTCCTAGATTGGAGGTTTTCCTCTTAAATATTGCTTTAATTTTAGAGAATATTTCTGTAGTGTGGCCCCAATTATTTGTTAATTTAGTTGGGATTCATTCCATACTCATCACCAGCCAAGCAGTTCCAGAGGTCACAGAACAGAAAGTCTCACTGGCCAAATTAGACTGTTCCAAGCACTTAGTTTGTTAAGTCAATTTAAAACACACAGGGAGACACAACGGTAAAGAAATAGGGTTACTGAGCAGGGTTGGTGTGAGCAGGGTGGAAGGTGTGATCTCTGAATCTTGGTCCACGACAGTGTTCATTGGTGTGCCTGTCCTTTGTCTCTGTGTCATCAGCTGTCCCTATCAGTGATGTTCTGAGGACCAGAGGTCTGAGCTGGGGGCCTAAGCGGCCAGGGGCCTGTGGCTGAGGGGCAAGGATGTCTGATTCCTTGACAGCTTAGCAACTAGCTGGCTGAGAAACTATGGGTTTCTTTCTTTTTTTTCTTATTATTAATTCACATTTATTTTGATTGGAGACTATAGGTTTTATTTGCATTTCATAGACAGAAGATATATAGGACCAGAAAAGGTGTCACCAATGGGTGGTTGAATTAAAGCCTCATGAATATTTAGTGCCTCAAATGCTTCCTGTATATTTAAAGTCATAAATTTTGGATACCTCTCAGTCTTTCCATTCCCCTCTGTGTTTAACACACAAATGCTCTGATATCTGCTTACTAACTACTTTTTTTTTTTTTTTTTTTTGTTGTCCAGGCTAGAGTGAGTGCCGTGGCGTCAGCCTAGCTCACAGCAACCTCAAACTCCTGGGCTCAAGCGATCCTCCTGCCTCAGCCTCCCGAGTAGCTGGGACTACAGGCATGTGCCACCATGCCCGGCTAATTTTTTATATATATATCAGTTGGCCAATTAATTTCTTTCTATTTATAGTAGAGACGGGGTCTCACTCTTGCTCAGGCTGGTTTTGAACTCCTGACCTTGAGCAATCCGCCCGCCTCGGCCTCCCAAGAGCTAGGATTACAGGCGTGAGCCACAGCGCCCGGCCTTTTTTTTTTTTTTTTTTTGAGACAAGGTCTTGCTAGTCCAGGCTAGAGTGTAGGAGTGTCATCATAGGTCACTGCAACCTCAAACTCCTGGGCTTGAGCCATCCTTCTGCCTCAGCCTCCCAAGTAGCTGGGACTACAGGTGTGTGCCACCACACCTGGCTAATTTTTCTATTTTTTGTAGGGACGAGAGTCTCATTTCTGCTCAGGTTGGCTTAAATTCTTGGCTTCAAGCAATCCTCCTACCTTGGCCTCCCAAAGTGCTGGGATTACTGGTGTGAGCCACCACACCTGGGAAAACTACTTTTCTTTCCTAACATGTCTTAGAAATTTTGCAGATGTCTTCAAGCTACGTGTTTACTACTTACCTATACTTCTGTCTTAAGTTTCTTCCTTTCCTTCCATAGTTAGAAAATAATACAAAAAAAGTGTATGCCGTGCTATGCCTCCCCATCCCAATCTGTTGAAAATGGGGCTGGAGAGGGGGAGGGAGCCAACATGTACTTTCGTGCTATGTCAGGTTCTCTTTTATTACTTTTATCACTAACAGGGCTATTAGCAAATGTGGCTTTCCATGTGCAGGCATAAAGAGTCTGCCAGTGCTGGACTCCAGAATAAGATCTACTTGCTCAGTGGCTGACAGGACTGAAACTGCCATAGCTGTTAGGACTGTTAGCCTCCTCATTCGGGGGAGCTGGTGTCCTCAGACTCAAGGCACAGAGAAGTGGGGAGTGCACACTCCTGGGCAGGCAGGCAGGTCTTGAACGGTGAGGAAGGACAGAAGCTGAGCCACAGAGCCTTAGTGCCTTCAAACATTACAGAAAGGGATAGAAAATAGAGTTGTCAAGCATTTAATCACATCAGGATATGAACGTATGTGACAGTTTTCTAAAAGATGAGAAATTATTAAATCCAGAAAAACAATATTTAAATTAAGTGTACTTGTAAGTAAATTTAGCGTTTTAGAAATGAGAGACTTTTGTTTAAAATGATTCAAGAAATCAGTGCAAAGCTACAAAACAGAGAATAGCATCTCAGAGATTGACTCTTGTGAGATGAGTTAACTGTGGGTTATATATGTGTGTGTGTGTGTGTGTGTGTACACACACGTACAGAGAGAGAGAGATTATTACAGGTATTGGCTCATGTGATCGTCGAGGCTGAGCAGTGCCATGACCTGCTGTTTGCAAGCTGGAGACCCAGGAGAGCTGGTGGTGCGATTCAGTTCAAGTTCAAAGGTCTGAGAATGGGGTAGGGGTAGGGTGATGATGTAAATCCTGGAGTCCAAAGGCCAGAGTTCTGATATCTGAGCGTAGGAGTAGGTGGATGTCCTAGCTCCCACAGAGGAGATGGAATTTTCTCTTCCTCTGCTTTTTTTGTTTTATTTGAATATTTGGGCTCTAAACAGTTGGGTGGCGCTGGCCTACATTGGGAAGAGCAACTTTTCCCCTTTAACTCACCAATTCAAATGCCAATCTCTTCCAGAAACATTCTCACAGACACATCCAGAAACAATGCTTTACCGGCTATCTGGACATCCCTTAGCCCAGGCAAGTTGGCACATAAAATCACCCACCACAGTGGCCAACTGGCAAAGTCTGCGTGAGGAAGCGAGTGAGCACCAGGGCCCGCCAGCAAGTAAAAGGCTCATCATTTTGCAGCTCCTCCACCCTCATTCCAGTTGGAATGTGTTGATTATATGTGACTTTGAGTTGTTAATTGTAATTCCACCAAAACGACAGGAAACTGAGATAGTATGATGGGTTGCTGACGAAAGGAAAATGGATGTGAAATGCCTCCATATGGAGTCTCCATATGTACATGTGTTCTCATATAGGTTTGCACATATAAGCATTTTTAGCATGGGAAACACACACTAAACCATTGATCGTCTTAGAAGGATCAGATTGGGAAGAGGAAGCTTTAAAATTTTCTCTCTATACTTCTATATTATGTTTCTTTTATATTTTTATCACTTCAAAAATATTGTAAAAACCTTTTTCCCATTCGAGTCATGTTTGAGTCATATCCTACTTACTGAGTATGAACCGTTGGATCACCATTATTAATTTAATGGTGCTTGCATTTCTGAAGTGGCCTACTGTTGGGAAAAATTGGGAACCTTAAAAACTGGCTGGATTTGTGGAATGGTTAGACCATGTAGGAGGTACCTTAGCTTTATTAAAAATCTCCCAAATACCTATTATGCAAAGTTAAATAAGTCATTATTGTGGGCCAAATTACCCCCTCAAAATACATAAGTTGATGTCCTAACACCCAATACTTCAGAACATGACTATATTTGGAGACAGGGTCTTTAATGAGGTAATTAAGTTAAAATGAGTTCATTAGGGTAGGCACTAATCCAATCTGACAAATGTCCTTAACAGAAGAGAAAATTAGGTCACAGACGCATACTAAGAGAAGACCATCTGAGGACATAGGGTGAAAATGTCGTCTAAGCTAAGGAGAGAGGCCTTAGATGGAATGAACCCTCCTAACACCTGATCTCAGACTTCTACCCTTCAGAACAGTGGGAGAATACGTATTTGTGTTTAAGCCTCTCAGCCTATAGGACTTTGTTATGGCAGCCCTACAAGACAAATACAACCACCTACTACTCATATATGGTATGTCTTCATTCCAATGGGATGTTACAAAAAAGATTACTGCCTCATATTTATGTTTAATCATTTGTTTAATGTTTCAGCTTTTAACTTCTTTTTTGGGGAGATGGGGTCTCGCTCTGTTGCCCAGGCTGGCGTGCAGTGGTGTGACCATGGCTCACTGCAGCCTCGAACTCCTGGGCTCAAGCCATCCTCCTGCCTCAGTGTCCTGAGTAGCTGGGACTAGAGTCATGCGCCACCACGCCTGGCTCAGCTTTTAACTTTTAAAAGTTTCTTCATAATTTTTTGCTGTTTACCTCCAGAATAACCCAGTGCAGTGAGGTTGATCAGGTATTCTTGTTTTACAGCTGAAGAGACTGAGACATAGAAGGATTAAGGGACTTCTAAAAGTCTCCTAATGAGTGGCACCCTCAGCCTTTCCCTTTACCATTCTTAACCTCTTAGTGGAGGATTTCCTAATACCTGTCTCAGATGGCGCTTATTTCCGAATAGGTCATTTCATTCAGCAAACACATGCAGCAACTCATGTCTGTCAATCTCTCTTAGGAGTTGAGAAAATGGTGGGGAGGATGTGGTCTCTGCTTTTGAGAGCCACACAGTCTGGATGTGCTGACAGACACACACAGACAAGATTTTATAGAACGTGAAAAGCTCTAGAGCCACGGCGTCGTGGGCACCCCCGAGAATGTCTTCACGGCTGCAGCATAGCGCGAGCAGGCCTCAGAGAACGCGAAAGGACTTTGTCGGACAGAGATGGGGATTCCCAGTAGAAGAGACTTCACGAGTGAAGGCCCAGAGTTGCTCAAGGTGGGACAGGACTGGTCCCAGGAGAACAGCCCGGAAGGTGGTGGTGGTGGATTGCTACCGAGCCTTCCATGGCTAAAGGAGCGTGGCCTTTGCCCTGAACAGCTGCGGCTCCAACACTTCTGCACTTCTTTTATCAGGTAAAAAAAATTAACAGGAAGCTGACATAAAATTGTTGAATTTTTATTTTACTAAGTAAAAAAACCAAATTGCTATCATCTGCAATTCAACATCATTTTATGCAAGGAACAACACCAAAACTGGAGGAGGGTCATAATTGTCTACTAAGACCAGTTGAATACCTTTAGCTTTATGAAAAACTCACTGTTTTCCATTTTTCACTAATTTCACCAAGATAGACTTCTGGGGGGGGCATTCTTATAGATCTTACTTCTCAAGCTTTAATGAGCATGTATACACCACCTGGGGTGGTGTTGGAGTGTAGATTCTAATTCTGGGTGGGGCCTGATATTCTCTGCTTCTAGGAACTTCTGTGTAAGGCTCTCACTCCAGGAGCCTGGACCACATTTTGAATAGCAAAGCTTAGTCTGTACAGTAAGAAACCAGAAATTGGCTTGATCACACTTGTATTTTAAAAAGTTAAACCAGGCAGCTACATGTAAACTTGTTGTAAATGACTTGCTGCTACAATCACACCACAAAATTTCTGCAGATATATTAAATATATCCTGTGGGTTACAAAAGATTACTTTAGTTTATCTTTCTGGTCTTCTGACTAATTTTAGGAATTCTTCAAATGGCAAGAACACCTCAAAGATTCAAAAAGTATGCATTCTTTGAATTTACTATGTATGTCTCTTCCTGGTTTAATACTTCAGTCTTAGTATAGAAAATGAATTTTAGTAAAATTCGTATAAGCAGTATGTTTCGATCATAGCATATCAACAGCAAAAAATAAGACGACTTAAAAACAATGCAAATATAATCAGTAGCAGTTGACTTGGTGCCGTCTTTTCGCCGGGAGCTGAGTATTGATGGAGTCCCGCACATGGAGAACAGACTGTCCCATGCGAGGCCTATTAGAAGTTAGCACCAAAGCAGATGTTCTTGAAGTTTCTGTTACCATTATAGATGCAAATCCAGACAAGCTGTTCTTGTTTTATAGGGAAAAAAATGTAATAATAAATTGTCATACTTATCTTAATGGATTGGTAAGAATTCATTAGTACACATTCATAAAAGAGGATAAGAAGATTAAAAATGTACTGCTTAAAATAACGAATACTTTTATGACACCAGAAGCCTAGGACATAGTAGGCAACAGCAGATGGTAAATTTTAATGCCTTACAAATATTGTGAAGGCTGCTGGAACTCAAGGTAGAAAATTGCAAGGTAGAATTATTTTGGGGTCAGTCGAGACTGTAAAAAAGCTGTAGTATCAGAGACCAGATGAATTACTTAAACCTTTAATCCAGAGATGTTTCTCACAAAGAATTTCATAGACGACCGCTTTCTCCCAAAGCCTATTTGAATACCAGCGCTGAAAGAATTGAGAACTATTTAAGGGGGTCTTACATTCTTTGGCCTTATACTCTATAAGGGACCATCTGGTATCTTGAATAAACACAATTCCTGATTCATTCAAAGCCCAACTTTACGTGGTTTTTCACTGCCTCATGAAACTTTGCTCAGTGGTGAAACTTTTCCCTGGACACTGGGAGGAAACTCAGGCCCACCACTTTCCTTGCTCTCTTCCAGGTAATAAAGGAGTTGAGTTCTAGGCCCCTTATGAAACAAACATAGCCTCAATTTCAAAATATAGTATAGGTGTCAAAAATAGTTCAAAACTAGAAAATATCTATAGAGCTATATTATCAAGTAGAATCCAAGCTTGTGAAGAAATAGGGAGAAGAAAGAGAGATGTGTGTACACCTTCTTTGTTTAGAAACACCTAAGAGCTTTGAACTGAGATGCTAAATGCACCTTTTAAAAAATTATTTTAAAAAATCCTCCCAATTATCTGATCAAGTATGTGAAAGCTACTACCCTTCTACCACTGAATCTCTCTCACATAAAGCATTGGTCTTTGCTGAGGTCCAGGACGATGCCCGGGGTGTTTATAAAATTATCTTCTGTGATGCAGGAACAAAATTGAAATTTCTTTTTACATTTATTTGTCCAAATTTAAGATACATCAAGCTTTACTGGTATTTAATGTTTTGACTGACTTTAATATCTGCATTTTCTCATCAGCTAGACGGATGGATGGACAGACAGAAGGGTAGATAGAAAGATGTATGTATGGATGGATAGATAAATAGATAACAGCTAGATGGACGAATGGATGGACAGGTAGATAATAAATGACAGCTAGGTAGGTAGATGACAGATAAACAGACAGATGTACTTTTTTGTTTAACAGCTAGGACTGTGGGATAAAGGAGCAAAAGTTGAATATCTCTGGTCTAAAACATCAGGACATTTTTATTTCTCATTTCTGGAACCTGGCTAGGTTACTTAATTTATTTGAATTGTCTTCAAGGGGTACAATTTAAGAGAACTAATTTTTAGATGGAAAGATCAGTAACACTAGTAGTATGTAACAAATATTAATATTATCTAACACATAAAATGATTATTTTGAAAACTTAGTCCTAGTTTTCTTGCGCCAGAATTTATTTTGAGTAACGCTGTTGGGATGTGGCCACTGTGTTGGCTGGAGAGGAGACACACACTGTGGGCACGGGAGCAGGAAGAGCACCGGGATTTGGGGTGAGGAAGAGCATCTTCAGAGTCGGGAGGAGCACAACCATTTTACCAGGCAGAAGCCCCAAACCAAAACAGCACCAAAAAATCAAAAGAGAGGTGCTAAGTAGAGGGAGTTGCTGTGTGGCCTGGCCTGTGGCACCTCCCGGCCCTCCTCCCGGAGTCCGGCGCGGCTCCTCCGCGGGGCCCCTGGGCTCCAGGGACACGTCTGGCATCCATGGTGGGAAGCAGCGGCTTTCCCTGCTTCGCTCCAGGACACTCACACTAAGAGAGACGTTTGGCGTCGTGAAACCTCAGGCCTTACTGCATGCAGTGCAGGGCCACGCGCTGCGCTCCTTCCCTCCTGTGGCCTTAGCTACCTGTGCCGCCCAGCATGGCTGGACCCACACTCTGGGATGCGCCTGCGACAGGAGACGAGCTGGGACAGCCTGGTGCTGGCAGAAAGTTTGAGGGCCTTAAATTCCAAACAAGAGGGTTTGGTTTTTATTATTTGTAAACAAGAGGGTCTCCTGAGGTTTGTAAAAGACAGGTGATGTGACTGGATGTGGCCAATCTGCTTACCACTGGCTGTAAGGGATTGTGGTTGTAGCTCAGGGACATGAAGCAATTATGGCTTTAACTAAGGGGTGAAATATTTATCATGCTTTCTCCCCTCGCCCCCAGCTCCCACATTTTAAAGCAGTGCCAAGTGCTTTACCTCAGGAAGTGTTGCATGATGATTAGGAGGGTGGCTCTTTTTTTTTTTTTTTTTTTTTTTTGGGACAGAGTCTCGCTCTGTTGCCCAGGCTAGAGTGAGTGCCGTGGCGTCAGCCTAGCTCACAGCAACCTCAAACTCCTGGGCTCGAGTGAGCCTCCTGCCTCAGCCTCCTGAGTAGCTGGGACGACAGGCATGCGCCACCATGCCTGGCTCATTTTTTTCCTATATATTTTTAGTTGGCCAATTAATTTCTTTCTATTTTAGTAGAGACGGGGTCTCGTTCTTGCTCAGGCTGGTTTCAAACTCCTGATCTTGAGCAATCCGCTTGCCTTGGCTTCCCAGAGTGCTAGGATTACAGGCGTGAGCCACTGCGCCAGGCCAGGAGGGTGGCTCTTGAAATGACCTCCTGTCCCCTGCCTCCAGCTCTATGAGCTTGGGCAAGTGATTCACACTTCCTTGCTGAGCTCCACAAAGGGCCATTGCTGGGACCCAGGAAGAGCTCCAAAGTCCAGTTAAGGCAGGCAGCATTGTGCAGAAGCCCAGAGCACCAGCCTTCCTCATGCATTCTACTCACTGTGTCCAGCTGTGCCAGCCATATGCCTAGAGGAAAACAACTCCTCTCCACATAGGCACAAAATTCCACCAAAGCAGCTTCCAAATCTGCTGACACCTGAAGCCTGGTCACCCTGTTCTGCAATCATGCTTGTGGGAGGGAGGGGGCAGAGGAAATGCCATCAGGGCTCTCCCATCTCAACACTCAATATAATTGTGTGTGCTTAAAGTGCACCTTAAGGATGGGTGTGATGGCTCACGCCTGCAATCCTAGCACTATGGGAGGCCGAGGCAGGAAGATTGCCTGAGCTCAGGAGTTCTAGACCAGACTCAGCAAGAGCAAGACCCCATCTCTGGCAAACATAGAAAGAAATTAGCCAGACAACTAAAAAAATAGAAAAAAATAGCTGAGTGTGATAGTAGACGCCTGTAGTCCCAGCTACTTGGGAGGCTGAGGCAGGAGGATCACTTGAGCCCAGGAGTTGGAGGTTGCTATCAGCTGGGCTGACACCATGGCACTCTAGCCCAGATGACAGAATGACACTCTGCCTCCCCCCCAAAAATAAAATAAAATAAAAGGGCACCTTGAGTTCTTATAAAGGCAAACGCAGAAAAAAATGACCAGTTGTTAGTCCACTCTTTACTATGCTTCCAACATAAATACATATTGCTGCATGTTTAGAGCAGAGTTCAATTTTTGGTACTCTATTTACGGCATTTCTTATACCTATAAGAAAACTTGGCCAAGATGTTAGGTAGTGACAAATATTAAACAGAGCAGTAGAAGTAGCAGGTTCTAGCCATGGCTTGTATGTTCCGCTTTGCCCTTGTTTGTTGCTTTCACCAGTTATATCTTACTTTTCTCCTTCATAGGACATTCTGGGCTGAGCTCAATTTATTTTCAAACTCAATGAATGGGAAGAATGACACTTTCCTCATTTCTGTCTTACTGCATGACTCTGAGGAGGAGCTAAGATGCTTCCTCCTCCTGGAGAAAACGAGTTTATGTACTTTGCAAGCTTTTTGCCTAATTTGCATGTTCACAGCAAGTGAAGTGGAGAATATAGACCATCATCTTGACTTTCTAAAAACACACTCATTTATAATATCAAGAGATTCAGAATTCTTTCACCTGAATTACATAATTATCCCGATTTCATACAATACAAAATCAACTACAAATCAAAGAAGAAAAAAATAATTTATTGTGGTACTTACCAAACTTTGTAAAAGATGAAGAATCAAATCATCACAATCCGCCTCCTTCAGTCACCATGGTGTAGCCTGTTCATTGCTGAATCGTTCAGAAGATGCTGAGGCAGCCGGCCGGTGAGGGCTTCTCCGCCTCAAAGACCCCTACCTATATGTGCTGGTGCGGTTTCCAGGAGGGGAGAAGAAGCAAACTCTGTAGGGCTCGCCCTCAGTCCAGCATGGCATGAGCTACGTTGCCAGCAACTGAGGAAAAGTAGAGTAGGTGTCACAGAAGGCAGTTGCTAAGGACAGAGTCCAAGTCCTGGGCCTGACATATGGCCCAGGGACACGGTCATCTTAAAGCTACCCAGGCAGAAACTGCCTGGTGGAGAGGCCGTTTGAGTGGCGGCAGTTTAGGAGTTCCGCGCTGCTCCCTGAAGCCCTCACTCCCGGCCTGCCTCACTTTCCCACACAGCTCCGCCAGCTCCCACAGCCCCCGTGACCGGCCTCCCTGCCCCTCCTTCTGCCCTCGTGGCAGGCGGGCTCCACAGTCGTGGCCAACGCTCCGCGCTGCCCTCTCCTCTCCCAACACTGGCTTCCAGTCCTCTCCTGTTCTTTCTCTGGAGAAAGCGGTGTCTATGCGGAAAGAAGTGGAGAGAAGTGGAGAAGTCTCGACCCCAAACTTCAAAGTGGAAACTCCTGGCTCTGCAGTGCCTTTGGGGACATTGCCACACTGTGACAGGATGTGTGAATGTGCTCTGGAACCTCCCCGCCCTGCCGGGAGCCGCAGCAGAGTGGCGCCCTTCAGGGTCCTCCTCAGGACGGGGCTCACCTGCGTGCTCACAGCCTACCGATTCTGAAGTACCGGGAGGCCAAACCAGTGAATGGCTTTAGTCCAGCTCCCCGCCTGCCAGCTCCAAGACCTCCCCTCCGCACCAGCCTATTCGCCCTTTGCGGACTGCTCCCACATCTTTCTCTCAGAAAGCTTTCTCTGGCTCTTAGACTCTCCCCGTCCACCTGCCCTTCTGGCCGCACACCCCGACTTCACTCGAGCTCGGCCCCACCAAGACTCCCAGCAGCAGTGGCAAGACTAGGTTTCCCACAGTCCTTCCTAAGGGAATCAAGAGCAATTTCTTAAGCCTGGAATTCGAGGTCCTTTGGCAACAAGTTCTATTCATCTTTGAATTTTCTTTCTTGCTAATCCTCCAAATAAATTCCCTTCTCTGGTGACGCAGAATACCTTTATTGCTTCCCCGGAACAGTAGTGCCATCCCTGCCCACCCAGGCTCTGAATTTCCCCTCTAAGCCAGGTGTGTAACTGCCCAGATGTGCTTTCATTCCTGTCCATGAGGCTCTCTGGCAGGTGCATTCTTTTCCACATATTCTGTGTCTTGGTAGAGTACTCTCCTGGCCGTTACTACTTTCAGTTTTGGTCTTTCCTTTGCAGGCAAATCTAAAACTTCTCAAAAGGAGAGACTGTCTTTTTTCTGTGTTTCCTCTAGAGCACATTGGACAGAGCTGGGTCTCCACTCGGCAGTTATTTAGACTGATTAATTTGCCAGGGGGTGGAGATGGAGGGCTCCTTCACTCCTGAGACCTAGATAGGATAATCTCCAAGTCTTAGTTGCAGGAGCTGTCAAAGTCCAAGTGTCCCCCCAGATCCGGCAAGTTCCTTGGGACATCAGCCTTCATGGTCTCCACCTTTGGCTCCTGCTTTCCGGCCAGCTGCTCTGTAGAATGCTCACCCACATACACGGCGCAGCAAACAAAAACTCGCTCACAGAAAGCACTGGACAGTCTAGTAGGACTTGGTGAAAACTGGAGGACATGGAAGCAGTATTTCTGCCTATGTGCCCCTTCAGCACTGGAAATGACTTCAATTGGACAGTTGGCGCTCCGGCCCGGCGGCAGCCCACCCATGGGACGGCGCACTGGCCCTTCAGCCAGGTGGGTCCTCTCCTCCCCACTCTCTTCCTCTCAGGAGTAACCCGTCACCCCACAACACGCACAAGCCACCACATCTATGCTCCTCACTTTCTCGGCAGAGCAACACACCTGTTTGTTTGTGCCAGGCACCTTTGGACATCAGTGTTTTCAAGGCTTTTCCTGTGACCCCAGTACCACGTCAAAATTCTTTTCTCAGAATGAAAATTCCCTCTTTCACCGGACACATGACACAGCTGTTGGAATAACTTAAAAAAAAAAAAAAAAAAACCCTGGTACACTGAAATGCCTGTTTACTTCAGGGCTTATTAATTTTGAAGTTTCTTCCTGTTCCTCAGCTCTCCTTTGTTAAATTGTTACATTTTTCTTCTTCTTCTTCTTTTTTTTTTAAGATGCAGATTTTGGCTTATTTCATGATTGTAGCATATATTAGTATGAAGTATATTTCTTTAAAAGTCATCAACTCAGGTCCATCACTGATGATTTGATTGTTGAAAGGAAGAGCTCCAACATCTTGAATGATGTTTTTTCCTTCTTTCCTGTCATTTTTTTTTCATGAGCTCTTTCAAAAGGGCCTTATTCATGACCTCTAGAACTCTGGACTTCATTCAAGTATTATTACTTTCCCCACAGTGACCTTTTCCTTCCCAAGTGGGTAAGATTGGCCAAACTGACGTATCAAACCAGCTCTCAGACCCATCTGGGTGACATAGCTGACAAAGTTTACTTTATAAGCGTCCACTCACCACTGGTCTACCGATGACCTTATCGATATTCAGCAAACGGCAACGGCTCTGACAGTCGCTGGCGAGACTCAGCGGCTATCTCCTGACTTTCTAAGTAGTGCTTTGTCAATTTCTAGTGTCATCTTTCCTCCTTCACTCATGCTGTACCACGTCTTATTTCCATTAGTTCTTTTTTTTTTTTTTTTTTTTGAGACAGAGTCTCACTTTGTTGCCCAGGCTAGATTGAGTGCCGTGGCGTCAGCCTAGCTCACAGCAAATCCTCCTGCCTCAGCCTCCCGAGTAGCTGGGACTACAGGCATGCGCCACCATGCCCGGCTAATTTTTTATATATATCAGTTGGCCAATTAATTTCTTTCTATTTTATAGTAGAGACGGGGTCTCGCTCTTGCGCAGGCTGGTTTTGAACTCCTGACCTTGAGCAATCCGCCCGCCTCGGCCTCCCAAGAGCTAGGATTACAGGCGTGATCCATTAGTTCTTGAATTAGTTTTTTCCTCACATCCACCAGAATCAATATGAACTACTTCTGTGGAAAATACTGCTAAAGTCTTTAAACCGGTTTTATTTTAATTTTTTTGAGATAGGGTCTTGCTATGTTGCTCAGACTGGCCTTGAACTCCCGGGCTCAAGTGATGCTCCAGCCACATCCGCCTGAGTAGCTGGGACTACAGGCACCTGCCACTGTGCCTGGCGCTGGTTGTGTTGTATATTGACTTCCAATTAGATGTCTTACTTCACATTTTCCTAGGAAAACTTTAGTTCATCATTCTGAATTTTCTCTTCTCTGTCCTTACTGGTATTCTGAGTATCCCACAATTTCACAGCCTTGGCAAGTTTTTGTTATTTAAATTTTTCTGGTGCAAGTAGCTAGTGGGCTGTGGCTCGAGTCTCCCCAGGGATTACATCACTCACACAAGTCCCCGGCCCTGCCCCACCACGCACAAAAGAAACACAACCAGTAGGCGCTGCCACAGATTCTCGGTTCTCAAGGATAATTTCTAGTTTTCAGAAAACGAACTTAATAGCTACTAGCTTGTAAAAAAAAAAACAACAGAATTTATTATTTTTTCACAAGCTTTTAATTAACAATGACTGTGTCAAAAACGTGCCCATTTACGAGGGATTAGACTTCAGTAGAGGAAGGATGTGTAGACATCCAAACATACTTACGTGTGTGCATGTGTGAAGTGGAAATTGTGCACAGACGCTATTAGCTGATTTTATTTGGGACTATTTGCTTACCGAAGATAAAAAATTAAAGTTATTAGACAGCCATTATACATCTGTAGACATAGATGCTTAAAGAGCAGTTTTACTAACTTACAGAGAAAAGCCTTTGGATACTTTGGATACTTGCTTAGATTTCTTCATTCTCCTGCGGAGCGCGGGCTCCTCAGTCTCGACTCCCTAGTCACAGGGGCAGGGCCGGCGCCGCCATCGGGGCCTCTGCTGGCCTCCCTTCCCCAGGCACTGGGCCTGCGTCCCCACGGTGCTGTGCCCCTGGCTGAGCGACTGCAACAGGTATACTTTACCAAACGAGCACAGCAAGGAAAAAAGAAAAATCCCTTACAACGAGATACAGGATGGCCATGCTGCCAGGCAGGGTTTCTTGGGGGGACGGCACCTGCCTCTGCGGCGGGCCCTCCTTGTGTGTACCCTCACCTGGCCAGGGCCCTTTGGGCACTTCTCTGGTTGTGCTCATCTGTGGCTTCTGCTGATCCTCTTGCTATCCAGGCCCACCTGATAGCCACCCTCCTGGGAATTTTTTTTTTTTTTTTTTTTTTTGAGACAGAGTCTCACTTTGTTGCCCAGGCTAGAGTGAGTGCCATGGCATCAGCCTAGCTCACAGCAACCTCAAACTCCTGGGCTCAAGCGATCCTGCTGCCTCAGCCTCCCAGGTAGCTGGGACTACAGGCATGCGCCACCATGCCCAGCTAATTTTTTCTATATGTATTAAGTTGGCCAATTAATTTCTTTCTATTTATAGTAGAGACGGGTCTCACTCTAGCTCAGGCTGGTTTCGAACTCCTGACCTCGAGCAGAGCAATCCGCCCGCCTCGGCCTCCCAGAGTGAGGCGTGAGCCACCGCGCCCAGCCGCTCCTGGGAATTCTTAAGACACTGGCAGCTCCGAGGTTTGTGTTTCTTATTTCTAAGTATAGTTATAAATTCATTTGATTTTAAACACATTTTCTACCATTTGGGGGGGCTTTGTAAGTGGGAAAGAGGTAGTATTTCCTCAGCTGACATCATGAAACCAAACTGCCAGTGTAATTTTACTGTTTATTTTCTTTTTTAATGGGTTTGCAATTGCTTGTGATACTCCTTTATTTCCAAGGAGTCACATT